GGGTCAGAATCAACTTTCATTTTAGATTTCTCTCTAAACTTCAATCTCCCACTGTTGATAGCATTCTGAATCAGATCTCTGAAAAGAAAACAGTGTGAGGTTTTATGTCCCAAAAAATTATGATATTTGCAAAAACCTATTTCCTTCTGTTGTTTTAACGGAGGAATTTTGGCACCAGGTGGCACAATCATCTGGCCATCCTTTATGAATACATCAAAAAATTTGTCAAATTTTGTTATGTCGAAGGTACATATTTTCTTAGGGAACTTATCATTTTTCTCAGGTTCGACAGGGTTCTTCCCATTCGAAGGGGCTAAGGGTTTACAAGGATAAGGTGAGGCTTGCTTTAATTCAACCAAGTAAACTTTGCTTTCTTCAAAACCAATAGTGTTACTATAGATCTCTTGCTCGTCTTTTTCGGCTTCGACATATGCCATCCTTTGTTTTGTATTGTTTTTATTTTCTCTAGCCTTCTCAGCCTTCAATCGTTCGACTTGTCGAACTCTATCTTCTAATTGGGTCATGTCCCTTAAGTATTGGGTATTTAACTTCTTTCGAATGGAATAATCTAACCCGCCTGCGGTCATTTTGACCAACTCATGTCCAAGCACCTGTGTAAAACATCTTTCCTTCAATAAGTGAAACCTTCTCAAATAATCATCAATTGGCTCTGTAAACTTCCTTTTGATGCTAGCCAAATATCCGAGACTAATCTTTGATGATCCCATATAAAACTGCTCATGAAATAATCTCTCTAGGTGAGTCCAATCATGGATGGACTTTGCTGGGAGTGTAGTGAACCATGTGAAAGCATTTTTAGTTAGTGAACTAGGGAAATATTTTATTCTTAGATTTTCATTATTCTCTATGTCCCCAACCTCGGTGAGATACATGGATATATATTCGACAGTAGATTCGTTGGCATCACCAGAGAATTTTATGAACTTTGGGAATTTCCATCCCCTGGGTAACTCTGTTTGTAAAACATATTCAGACAAAGGGGACATATAGTTTCGCCTTCGAAGGCCTACATTTATCACCATTTCGAGCCATTATTCTTTCGACCATGGCTTCCATATTATTCTCCCCTAGGTATTTGTCTTGTCAAACCTGTTGAAGAACTTCGTCTGCATCCTAATTTTTATTCACCATGAATATCCTTGGGGTTGGTTCCTCCCTTGGTATTGCTTGTTCGACCTTGGTCTGTTCAATCCTTCGTTGTTGGTTGACATCGCCAATATTTTGACTCATGGGAGACGAACATTTTAACCCATGTTATTGACTCCTAATCGTGATCCTTGTACTGGTGAAAATGTTGACAATCTTGGATCAGGAAATGTTGAAGTACTATTGTTAAGGCTTGCCATTCTTGATGTTGGCATACCATATATCTTGTCACGGTCTTCCATTGGCATTGTGAACCCAGATGCAAAATTCCTGAAATTATTTGTCCCTGGTGGCCTTGTGTTTACTAGGGAATCCAATGACTGCACTAGGGACAGGATTGCATCGTTGAAAGTGTTTGTCGATGTTCCCGTCCTATTTTCTTAAACAAGTATAGACTCAGTTGCCGACAACACAGGCGTACTTTCCCCTGTCGAAGGGGGTGGTTGTTATCCATTGTTACTGGGTGGGTTAACCATCTTCCCAATGTATTTTCTTTTTTAAATTTGTCTGTTATTTTTGGCTAATTTTCCACTTCTTAATCTCATACAATAATGTCAAACAAGATAAACTAAAATAAACGTGAAACAAAGACTTTGTGACACGAACACGACACTGTCCCACTGTGTGGGCCAATTTGTTTACCGTGAAAATTAGTAAACAACTACTAGTCTTCTGAATTCTAGAAACTCTGGTTACTTACAGGATCGGCTAGATTGATCCTAGGACATGTGTTGTGTTTCGTTGGTTTATATCTCTCGAATGTTTATCTTTTCAAAGGTTATGGTTAATGTATAAAGGACATAAACTCTATATAAATTAATTATAGGAAAATAATAATACTTCAACTTAAAATTAAAAGGGATAAGAAGGATTCTGATAAAAATAAATTGACAGTTAAATAAAATATGGTGATTCATACGAACATTCTCAATGACTCTTTTCTCTAAACACCGATACTTCGAGTTTTATGAGTAATTTGTACAAAAGTGGACACACTAAAATCTAATATTAAGATTTTAATTTATACTACTTCGACCATAACGGTCTTTTACTACAGGAGTGCCACGTTCAGCGCAACATGTCTCTTTGAACCCTCAGACTTCCACACGTCCTTCTAGATAAGATCAAAGCATATGAATTCAAATCTGTCTTTGATTCAAAGCGCCAAACACCACAACGCAACCTGTCGAATCATTTGAATTTGAAACTTGAAATATCTTAATTCTTATACACTACGTAATAATAAGACTTCGTTAATACTTAATAATTATCAACTCTTATTTGGTCATTCAGTCGATAACCATATGTAACAACCTTCACATTTCCTTTGTAAAATTAAACTTTCTTCGATATTCTCTTATTTATCCCATATTTCGAACCGTCGAAATTCTAGCCAACAAATTTCCCCAAAAAAATGTTTATTTTGCAACATTTGAAGAAACAGAATTTTTTTGCAAAGTCTCAATTTCGACGCAGAATTCTTCTCATGATGACTATTATTGTTGTGACGTCATGGTCATGATGAGCATCTTTCCAAATGTCTCATCGAGACGTGCATAGTTCAAATTTTCATAATTGCTACATTAAAGTAGGTATAAATCGTGGTTTTTCCAAAAATTAACCATTTTGTCAACTGATCAGTCACTGACCCGTGCCCCACTACCTATTTCATTGTTAAAATGAAAAATGAATCGTTTCTTTCCACCTTTTATTATAAATACTTCCCTCTTCTTCAAATTAACATTTTTCTGCTCTCAAACTCTTCAAGAATCTGCAATTTTCTTCACTGTTCTTCTTTCAACAATCAATCAAACCTCAAACTTTTCTTCAACAATGGCGCCCTCCAAAAAAGATAGCAAATTTGCTCAAGACTTGAAGAAAACCAAAGATGTTGCTATCGTTCTTGTTGGTCACATATCAAAACCTACTCTAATTGGAAACAAGAAATTTGTGCCAACGCATACACTTTCTGCAGAGCAATGTGCTATCTATGTATCCCAGGTAATCATTCTCTTCACCTTTGCTGATAAAAACTTAAGATATATGGGTCCTTTTAGATCATGCCTAATAAAGGACAGCAAGCCATATCTCGATTGACTGGCTAAAGTCGAACAAAATAAATCCCATGTCTGGAAAGACATGGATATTTTTTACTTAATTCAGCTGTCGAAAGTTGGACCAAGCTATTGCCAACACATGCTAATAGCGTCTTTGAACTTCTGGGACACCACTTATAACACTTTTTATCTTCTTTGTGGAATGATTACTCCCACTCTTTTTGATGTTGCTGCTATAACTAGGCTTCGACCCACTGGAGAAGTCTTTGATCCCATTGAGCAAATGGAAAAATCTATTGGCTTCGATGTTGACCATGTTGGCTTCATAAAATATATTGCTCATTACCATGTTGGAGGAGAAGAAGTATCAGACGTGGAACACATAGCTTTTCTTGCGTTATGGCTATCTCGATGTGTTTTCTGTAGCAAATATCTGCAAGTAGCTAGGACATTCTTAACCCTAGTCAACCAACTTCACTCTGGTCAAAACATTTGCCTTAGTGAATTAATATTAGTTGGAATTTATGCGTGTCTAGGGGGAGCTACTAGAAACCTAAAATCTTATGAAGAAGAGACCAATTTACTCTTAGCCGGTCCGTATTGACTTCTTCAACTGTGGCTGAACGCCACCTTCGAACCTTCACTTTCCTCCTCTGGAAAAATAGACGAGACAAATTCAGATATCCAAAATCGAACTATTGAGTGAACAAGATTGGATCGATTGACCCCGGATGATGAGGGAAAAGATTTAGAGAAATGCTTTACAACTTATGTTATGATGTTTGCAAAACATCATAATTTCACTCCTTCGATGTCTCCATTTGCTCATAGATCCCATGACCCTGAATGGTTTACAAGGTATTTTTCTGATATTTCAACACTTCAGTGTAACACCCAAATCCCCATAAATACTACAGAAATTTGCCTTATTGCGGCTCTCCTTATTCCTGTAGAGAAGTCACTCAGTTTAGTGTTTTTCTCCAGAACAAATGGTTTTGTCATTTTTAAAAATGTACATGTGTATTCTGTCTGGATGAGAACAATGATAATTTATACATTTGATTTTGAAAACAATGATAATTTGTTCTTTTGTGTTTACAATATTTAAAATGATATGATATATTTTGATCCTGTCACATATTTTGTATTTTCTATGTAAAAAATGATACAGGTCAGTGAAAATAAGATTTGTACATCCCATAATTCTTTGAGCCGAGTAATACAACCATATATGTTGATCAATGCTAAAACGATAGAGACTGACTAGTTATAGCCTAGTTCTATTGGCCGAGTTGTTCCTGGCCTAGCTGTGTTGGCCGGGTTGTTCCTGGCCTAACTATGTTTCATTTACATAATTCAATAAGTTTTTGTTCAAACTTTGACGGGGCAGTTACACTTGGTTAATGAAGATATTACAATAATGGAAGGCGGTTACAAACATTACGAAATGGCTTAATGGCCCTTAGACTAAGGAATATTCTATATAAATGATCCTTGGAGAATGGAAAAGACGGAGGGGATGCATAATACAAACATACAGGAAAACTCATAGAGGGGCTATTGCCAAAGGGATAAGCAAGACATTCATTTTGAATCAATACGAACCATCATCATAGCACTCAAATCCCTAAAATTATACAGAAATCTACCCTTATTGCGGCTCAAATCGAGACATCAGCAATGGAGATTCGTATTCAGATGTCGAATTCCCCAAGCGACGTTTGTACCAGCATTTTCCAATTCTGATGCTTTATCACGTGCGGAGGAGGCGAGTTCATGATTGCTAACTCAGATCCAAGCCTAGGGCCTGGATTAAGAATTCTGTTGGTTCAGTCTGGGATGGTATATGCCAACAAATGATGTTCAAATATCATCAAGATTCCAGCCCTACGGATTGGTGTCGACTGTTCGACTGAAAGAGAGTGAGGATGTTCCAAAATCATTACTGAAAGATAAGTTACTCCGTTTACTTGTTAATTACTACTACACATGAATGATTTTGACTGAATCATACTCAGTTTGTTACACGGAACCATTGATAAGCTCGGCATGCTTTAGAAAAATGCAAGTTGCAACGTTGCCCATTAATTTATTGTTGTTACTGCTAAACTTGATATCGTCAAAGGAAGGTTTGCAAGATACAGCTGTCAGAATAGACTTACATTACAACAGTGGAGTTATTGTATGAGATTTGTACCTTAACAGTAAAACAACTCAGAAGAACACATAGTGTTCAGTGAAATTCCTGAATAGAGGTTAAAGTCATTGAGGGCTCGAAGAGAAGTCGAATGAAGACTCTGAAAAAGCTTCCATTATGGTAAATATCAAGGCTTTGTGCAGGGGCTACATGATGCCGATCAGGTGCTGACCAAGTGTAGAACACGAGACAACTAGATGACTACAAAAAGATAAGTAACTGCTATTGGTTTTGCCTACTGGTTATAATGGACTATTGTCATGCAAAAAAGCGTATTTTCAAATTTGGATGATTGATTTGGAAAATGGCATGGGTTGCTAATCATATTAGCAGAGTTATGATGATAAAAGTTGCAGTCGGATGGAGCTTGTGTCCTTAGTGGGAAGCAATATGGCTGATAGTCAGGTTCAACAAAGCGGACGATGTATGTTTTATTAACTATGGAAATGATTCGTCGACTTGGGGCTACCGAATTCTTACACTGCAGAATTCACAGCTGCCTCATGATTTGGGAATGAAGCTCGCACTGCTAGTCACAGGTCCATGAAATTTTTTATAACATAATATTCCACCGGTTGACAAGTGAATTGTAGTGTCGTCACCATCATAGAATGATAAGTGATTTCATAAAATTGTGATGATTGAGTCATCTTATAATTCCATTCCAATTAAATAACTGGTTATAATCATGTTGTGAATGTTGTCAGTTGTTACCTAGTGTGTCAAGTTACAGCGAATGAATACGAATTCGCATGAGGTTATGTGGTGTTAATCATGACGTGTGCTAAGCGTCCTTTTGCAGGAGTTGAATCGGAAGGATACTATCATGGAAGTGAATTTTGTCTGCATCGGTTTGATGAGCCTGCTGGACGGTAAATGAAAGTAATTTTACTACCCACAAGCGGCTTGGTAGAAATACCTATGTGATATGCAGCATAACAGATCCTAGGAGTCGCTGCCGAGCTGTTGCTGTAGCAACCGTTGTAATGTGGCTCGAAAACCTAACAGTGCCACTGACTTTAGCAGGCAGATATTAAACCGGAGTTTGTTTCCCGTAGTGGAATACTTAAACCGGAGTAATGAGTATGTCTAATCCCCTTACAATATGTAAGATTTTACTAATGTTTAGAATTTCTACAAGACCAACACAAACACCAACAACAATCCTCTTGGATTTTTACTAAGTACACTAAGAGAACAATCATCTTTTAATGACTCTCTTGCTTCCAACAATCCTGGACAACAAGGTTATAACAAGTATTATGAATTTTTATAAGAGTTTGGAATGATATAGACAATGTATCAATCACTTGATTGATCTTCTCTTTCAAGCATACAACTTTCTCATTGATATTATACAGGTGTTCAATGAATGATATGAAATTTATCTTAATTTTCAATGAAAACTAAGTGCAGAAAATTTCACTTAAAATTCTGGTTTTTAGACACTTGAATTTTGAAAGATGAGATGATTAGAAAATATTTTAGAATTGTAGATGAAAAAGGTGTTTTGAAATCTGAAATAATAGAGTTTTTATATCCTTTATACACCTCTAAAAAAGAGCATAATCAATAAAAGAATGCAATGGTTTATTCCAAGAGAAACAAAAATTTCAAATAAACACTTTCAGAATTTTGTCTTTGTTCAATTGGGTAACTGGTTCCCTCATATAGGGTATCCGATTACACCCTGTAACGTTTAAAAAAAACTGAAATTTGTTCAAGTGTAACTAGTTCCCTCATATGGTGTACCCGGTTACACCCTTATGAAATAACCTGGAAACATAACAAAAACAAAGGTAAACCGGTTACAGCAGGAAGAGTAACCGATTCCCTTCAGCTCAGAATTTCACAAAAACTTTAGAAAATTATTTGAAGTCCAATTTTTGTAAACCAAAACATGTTTAAGGATCATGCAAAGTATGAACCTATCATTATGAACACTTGTATGCATATTTAAGAGTTGAATCTTATACCTTAGATAATATGATCAATCAAATGATAGAATTCCTTAAGACTTGGATAATTCTTTAAACTTGATATGCTAGATGTCTTGAGTCATTCCATTTTGCAAACCTTATATGTTAGCTTGTCTTCATCAAAACAAATTTGGAAGTTTGACTTCACATTCTCCCCATTTTTGATGATGACAACTCTTGAAATTTGATCTAATCTTGTATTTATCTAATCTTTGAAACTCCCCTTAAATCAAAGCTCCCCCTTGATTCATGAATGAGAGTCCATTTGAAATTTGCTTGCTACAATATTGTTAGAGAAATATACATACGTACACACATTAAGCATTCTCCCCCTTTGTCATTAGCAAAAAGGAATGGAGAAAAAAGATAAAAATAAGAAAATATGATGTATGTTAAGAGTTAGCACACAAACATAACCACAAAGTAAACACAATACATAATTTATAACATCACAAGTCATACACATATGTCATACAACAAACACAAAGTTATACTTAACATAACATATAACATTGTTTAAAACAAAATATGCATAAAAGGAAAGTACTTGGAAAAGGAAATTTAAAACATAATAGCATAAGCAAGATAAATAACATTTTCAGCCACTTCCCGACATGTCCTCTGCTTCGTCTTCTTCACCTTCACCACTTTCTTCATCTTCCACGTCATCTTCTTCTTCACCACTCTCTTGATTTTCCTCTTGAACTTCTTTCTTTTGGGTTTGCTTAAGAAGAATTCTCACCATTCTTTTTAAAGAGGTGAGAATTCAAATTTGTTCTCTTGGTGATGACGCATCATAGTTGATTCAACGGAGCAAATTTTGTTGTAAGTTATTTCATGAGAATATCCGCCAACCGGAATTGGAAGAGGACGATAAGCAGTCTGAAACTGAAATTTCCCATCTCGGTCCAATACAATACCGATATACCTTAATGCAGTTTTGTCATTAATCTCACAATCCTTCACATCCATGTCCTCCCTAGGTTCTCTTTTCAGATCAATATCACAATGTTGCAGAATTTTAGTGATTAACCGGGCATAAGGTAAACCACCACTTAACTTTTGAAGATGGTTCATGTGAGAGGTTTTCATCTTGTTCGGAGCTTGTTTCATCAATTTTTCTTTTTCCCTTAAGTTTTCTTGAAGCCATGGATGAATTTGGAGAAAATGAAAGTTAAGGTTTGGAAAGGGGATTTTCGAATTTCTAGGGAGGAGAAAGTTTTTGTGAGTTTTGATTTGAGATAAGGAATGGTTATAATGAAGTTTGGATGAGTGGGTTTAATTTGGGTGGAAGAGATTTGAATGAGAGAAGTTGGAAGAGGTTTGTAGAAGTTGAAAGGAGTTAGAGAGATGTTTGAAGGATGAAGAGATGAAGAGAGTGTTGGAAAGTGATAACACTTATTTGACTTAAAATTAAAAGCACTTATTTGAATAAGAGACCAAAAAGTAATAAATAAAATAAAGAAAATAAAACATGTTATTATTGAAATACGTTCAGCAAAACAAGCAGTTGGAATCAGTTACCGCATGGGGAGTAATTGGTTCCCTCCTCACATCCAAACTAGCGAAGTCAAAACAAGGAAGGGTAATCGGTTACCCTATATGTGGTACCCGGTTACCGAATGAATGCAGAAAATAGTAGCTTAATTTTTCAATATCTGCAATGAAATTTTTGAAATTAGCACATAAACATGTTATTAAATAATACTCTCTCCGTTTCTTTTTAAGTGTCATTTTAGCATAAAGCTTTTCAATCAAGATAGTAGATTATTAGAGTTATTTTTCCTATTATACCCTCATTTATTTTCTCTTTTCAAATAAATTCAATCATATACCATCTCTCTTTTTCCAATAACTAATTGAGAAAATAATTAATTTTATGGAAAATGTGAAGTGGAGTTATTGAGAAAGTAGGGATATAATTGACAAACGATAATATTAAACTATAAAAACGACACTTAAATAGAAACAAAAAAATTCTTCTAAAACGACACTTAAAAAGGAACGGAGGGAGTATAATGTAACTTTTTATTATAAAAATAGGTCATAAAAATATTTAGAGAAGAATGTACCTTTGATTCATTAGTATTTTAATGAATAATTTTTTTTTGGAAGAATCATACGTCACTTTCATCTAAAATTTCAAGCTCCCGTCGAATTTTGTAAAACAGATCTTTTGCGAGAGGTTTTGTGAAGATATCTGTTAATTGATTATGAATATCTACGAAAGTAACTTCGACATCTCCTTGAAGCACGTGATCATGAAGGAAATTATGTCGTATGTGATTGTGTTTGGTTCTTGAGTGCATGACCGGATTTTTTGTAATATTGATCGCACTTGTGTTGTTACAACATAGAGGAATGCATCCTAGCTCGAGTCCATAGTCACAAAGTTGTTGCTTAAGCCAAATAATTTGTGCACTACAACTACCTGTTGCTATGTATTATTCTTCGGTCGTGTTAAGAGCAACGCATGCTTGTTTCTTTCAAACCCAAGATACTAATGTATTTCCAAGAATGTGACATGTATCACTCGTGCTTTTTCTATCAGTTTTACAACCTGCATAATCCGCGTCATAATAAACACTTAAGTTACAAACACTACTTTTTGGATACCATAAACCGACATTTGTTGTTCTTTAAGATACTTCATTATCTGCTTTACCACCATGAGATGTGATTCCTTTGGATTTGCTTGAAATCGAGCACAAAGACAAACACTAAATATTATGTCAGGATGGCTTGCCATAAAATTTAATAAGGAACCAATCATACCTCGATATTTTGTAATATCAATGGAAACACCGGATTCATCTTGATCAACATAAGTACCGGAGCCCATTGGAGTATTCATTACTTTGAAACTATCCATATCAAACTTTTTTAATAATTTTTTGCAATGTTTGGATTGGTTGATGAAGATGCCATCTTTTAGTTGCTTAATTTTAAGTCCAAGGAAATATTTCATCTTTCCCATCATAGACATCTTGAATTCTCCTTGCATCATCAATGAAAATTCTTCACACATTTCATTGTTTATCGAACCGAAGATGATATCATCAACGTAGACTTGAATCAATAAAGTGTTACCTTTGATTTTCTTAATAAACAAGCCATGTTTATACACTCAATATATATATCATCCAAAGCGACCTTGCTTGTTATTGAAAGGGAGGTTTTTCAATTTGCACACCATTGCAGGATAAACTGAAGGAAAATTGTGATCCAAAACGCAGCGGAAAATTAAAATTTTCCTTTAGTGATCCTTATGAATGGGCATGGCCAGTGATAGAAATCATTACCTCTTGTGATGATTCATACCTTTGATTTTGTAATCACGAACGTTGATGAATAGCAACGTCTTTACCCAGTCCACATGAACAGATCACTTACGGACATAGTGCTAGCTGCTTACGAACGGAAACTTTGAGTGAGAGAATGAGACAAAATATACGGCTAGAAATCAAGACCGAATTTTCATCAAGTCGAATGCTTTAGCACAAGGGTTCTATTTATAGAACCACTTATATGGGCTACAAGTAAAAATCCCAATTAAGACTGAAAGCTAAAAGCCCAATTAAGTATACGAGTATCATACCTTATGATATACCGCATATCACTTAAGCGCGTGGTATCTTACCGCATTCCATATTTCACTTAAGTGCACCGTACCTTACGGTGTTTCTTATTTACTCTATCTCTTATCGACACGTCCTTATGTGTGTGACCCTGTAGGTTTTCGTGACGTTGGCAATCATATTAAATTACACATTTAACATAATAAATAGTGAGCGGTATCTAGAAACACATCACTGCTATCCAAGTCACGAAAATGTCATGTGATCTGGAAAAAACTTTCTGTGATAATATTTGTGTGTACAATCATCCTTTTTCTCTTACGTCTATATTTAACACAAGGCATAAACCGTGTCACCCTTGTCCAGTTCAATATTGGGCCCTTAGATATTTATCTTGTTATGTAGGATGGACAAATTCCATCTAGGTAACTCATGTCTCTCAGCGTGCTTTGTGAAGTACCCATCAATTGTCTTTATGGTCATCCAGTTACGGATAATGCTTGATCAGCAATAAAGTACTTAACTCCACATCTAATGTCCACAGTGGTTTCAAGTCGAAGGGTGGTATACACCATTATCACCATGAGAATAACTTATGACACCTTGCATAACATTCTATGTAGTATTCTCATAGTGGGTCAATCTAGTATAAATATTACTCCTAATATTCATACCTATGTCAAGACTTGATAACTCCTTATCCATGATCCATGATGTGTGATCATCAGTCTATCTTCATAATAATCTCAATGCTTTAATGTTATTCCACTTTGCAATAAAGCTCGACTACGAATATTTTAAGAATAGTGTTTTTATGTTTAATGGAATCTCATGATTAAGTCAAACTTAATATTTCATTAAACAAACGAACTATTATAGGGAATCTATTATTTTGGAAAAGCAAAAATAATAAAGAAATTCCTTTTATTATTAATAAATAATTCGATACAAGTACCCAAAGTATTGGCCTCTAGGGCTTATACCAACATAAATGAATAGCATAACTATAAAGGATGTGTACGAGTTGTTATGCAGAAAAATCAAACTCGGCTTACAAAGAATCGAGTGGTGCCAAACTACCCAAGGAGCACCAAAATACAAACTGAACAAAACACATGTTTATGTTTTAGTCAATTATGCCTATCATTGAATAAGGCGAGCAAAAGTATCTGCCGTTTGTAAAATAAATCATTTAAATTTATGGGTGTCATCCTTTTCCCCTACGTGGGCGGGAGACATACTCTTGTTAATTTCAAAATTAGGTAGGATGGGCTCGAAACATCAATACATATTATGTTTAAGAAATTAAACTCTAAAAAAGAAGCTGACACACACTATGCTAAGAAGAAACTTAAAAGTTATAAACCAGGAGATAAAGAAGACAAGTCAACTGATTAGACAAAGTCCCTCATCTCATCAGGGAAAGAAATTGATAAATCATTACTAGTAACCAATTAAACTCTTTTAATTGTCTCTCAGATTTGCATGAAAGGAGCTACGATCATGGATCTGAGTTAAATCTCAGCCTCCTGCACTCTCCGGCCCCCAGATCGAGTTAACACTCCTCTTATAAAGAGTCATAATTTGACTCTCCCCCTAAAAGAGTCGAGTACTTTATTTAACACTCTTGTTATAAAGAGTCGTAGTCTGACACTTCTCATAAAAGAGTTGAGTACTTTATTTAACACTCCTCTTATAAAGAGTCATATTCTAACAATCCTCATAAAAGAGTCAAGTAATTTATTAAACACTCCTCTTATAAAGAGTTGCAGTTTGATACTCCTCATAAAAAAGTCGGGTACTTTATTTAACACTCCACTTATAAAGATCCGTAGTCTGACACTTCTCATAAAAGAGTCGAGTACTTTATTTAACACTCCTCTTATAGAGTCGTAGTCTAACACTCCTCATAAAACAATCAAGTACTTCATTTAACACTCCTCTTATAAAGATTTATAGTCTGACACTCCTCATAAAAGAGTCGAGTACTTTATTTGACACTCAGTCGAGTACTCTACCGGATCTGAATGAACTTCACTGCTAAGTCGAGTTATTTCTTGCCCGAAATAAGAAAAACTCATTTACCAAAGATCTCTGGCTAAACTGAAGTCCAAGCGCACTTGAAGCCTCTGCATAATTATTCATTCAACCTCACCTTCACAGCAAAGGGGCACAGAACCAAACGGATAAACCCCCATTATGGAAACTCCCTGACATAATAAATTTCTTGACAGGCTTGCTTGGAGCCCATTGTTGTTGCTGTAGAGCGGAAAGAAAAAAGTAAGTTATTAATTTACCGGGTGATATAGGTTATATTCTATCGTGTCCACAGAGATTGGTCATTGATTCGTCGTTCGACAATTCTATCGTTAATGAGTTTGGGGATAAATGGGTTGAAAGTAAAAGTATCAACAAAAAATAAATGTATAAAAAGGAAAAAGGAACAACTAATCAAGCATGCATATATAATACTTCTCACAAACTTAAACCTATTGACCTATTATAATCAATCTATAATATTCATCAATGTTATCA